TGGCTCCTTATTGTTTGCAGACAATTTTCAGAGTGGATACAGCAACATTACATTTCCAGTGTAATCAGTGAGAGAGGCAGACATGAAACCGATGTGGAAGTGGTGTGCATCTACTCCACAAGCATTAAAATAGATAAGTTTACTACTATTTTTTTTAATATAAGGTGTATGTATGTATTTTGCCCACAGAGAAGGGTCATAAAGTTCCCTTACCCCCAACCAGTCGCAGCAGATGACTGCCCTCCCTGAGCCTGGTTCTGCTGGAGGTTTCTTCCTGTTAAAATGGGGTTTTTCTTCCCACTCTCACCAAAGTAGTTGCTCATAGGGGTCTACTGAATGGGTTTTCTGTGTTCTCTGTATTATTGATCTTTATCTAACAATACAAAGTTCCTTGAGGCAACAGATGTTGTTATTTGGCCCTATATAAATAAAATTAAAATATTTGTGTTTTATTTTTTATTTAAATGACAGCATACAAAAAACAGTCATAATTCTTTTTGATGTATACACTATCAGTCAAAGGTTTGGACAGACTTCCTCATTTAATGGTTTTTCTTTAGTTTCATGACTATTTACATTTTAAATTCTCTTCAAAACTATGAATGAACACATACAGAATTATGTAGTAAACAAAAAAGTGTGAAATGACTCAAAACGTGTTTTATATTTTCGATTCTTCAAAATAGCCACCGTTTGCTTTGATTACTGCTTTGCACATTCTTGGCATTGTCTCGATGAGATTCATGAGGTCATCACCTGAAATGGTTTCCAACAGTCTTGAAGGAGTTCCCAGAGATGCTGACTGTGGAGGCCCGGCCATCTGGCACAGCACTCTGTTACTCTCTGTCTTGGTCAAGTAGCCCTACACAGCCTGGAGGTGTGTTTGTGGTCATTGTCCTGTTAAAAAATAAATGACGGTCCAACCGGATCGGATTGTCCAAACAAATCTCTTCTGCTTGTTGCTTTTCCTTAGTAGTGGTTTCTTCTACTTTGAGGAATCTATAATATGAGATATATTTAGAGTTATTTATAATTTTTTTCTTTGCTGTATAACCCCATATATCTTTCTTCATATATATCTACAATGTAGAAAGTAGTAAAAATAGATAAAACATTGAATGAGAAGGCGTGTCCAAACTTTTGACTGGTAGTGTATTGTCATAGGTTTTTCTTGAAGAAGTGAATTTACCAAACTTAAACTTTTCTCTCCCTTTTTTTTAGATTTAGAGCTTACATCTTAATGCTTGCTGCTTGAAGCAGTATTGCTGTTCCTGTAGTATAAATGTAAAAGAAATGTCGTGCTAATTTTCATGTAATCTATAAATTACTGATCGTCCAACTTTAATTGCCATCTGGGAGTTTCTAGAACTTGCCACCCTCATAAACTAACCAATATAAATCTGAAATTACACTATCATAACAACAAATACTCCAGAATTTAGAGTTAGAGAAAGTACTCTAGGAGAAAGTACTCTAGGTGAAAGTATCTTATCTTATTACCATCTTATCTTCTGTCCACACGTAAAAAACAAATCTGGGTCATCTACATTTCTCTAAATTGACTACAACAAAACAGAATCATCCATCCTACTCCACTTATCCAAACATAATTTATATTTTTAAGCAACTTTTTCATATTAAATTTTACAATAAATGTACCCTGAAATGGTTAACAACAAAAATCATCTTCCCACTTACATGAAGCAGTACAGAATTATACCGCTCTGCAAGATTTAATGTAACTACCACGCAAAGATGTGTGTAGAAAATCAGCGGTTCTTAAGCTGTTTTACCTCTGGGTCTAACGTTTTCACTACAAAGTTGCCCGGGCTGACACTGTATTGAATAAATTGATGTTGCTTTTGGTTTTATACATATTTAATAACTAAATCAAAGCTACATCATTTTAATGGCTAAAACCTTGTCAAATAAACACGATGATAACATGATGCAATCTAATAATCCCAAAGAACCTGCACATAAAACAAAATGCCAACAATTCATGGAACAAATCAAACTGCAAAGTTAAAAGGCTCAAGTCAGGATTAAAAACACAAAATAATTAATAATTCAATTTTACTCAAAGAGACAAGAAAAAAGAAAAAATAGAATAATGTGTTC